TGTGTCTCCCTCTCTCTCTGCCCTCCCCCACTCACTCTGTCTCTCTCTCTCTCTCTCTCAAAAATAAACATTAAAAAATAAAATAAAATAAAATAAAATAAATAAAATTTGGCAGAGATATTAATAATAGAATATGTGACTATGAAGTTTTGTACTTTCACTCGCTTTGAGAAAAAGAGGAAGTCAACAAAAGAAAAATGTGAGGCTCAAATTATAGTTAATATAGCACACCTAAGCAGCTTCCTGCAAGTCAAAGGTTTTTCCTACTATGAGGTCAGATAAATGTTACTATTCCTACATCCTATAGTCAGTACAGACTAATTTGCAAAAGAGCCATTCATCCTTAAAAAAACAACAACAACAAAGGATGAGTAAATGTGGCAGCCATAGAGAAAAACAGTGACTGTATCTTTTCTTCTGGCCAAAAAGAATTCCTGTATCTATTGTTTCAAAAAACATGACTATAGGTATCTGTACCTTCTATAAACAAGAAAACAAATCCCCAATATAGAAAATGCAGATATACAAGTTAGACTAAGGGGTAACTCTCAGATTTACACAAAGACGAGATTTCCTTAAATGTCGGTATTTCAAGCATATAAAGTATCAGATTTAATTTCACTTTTTCAGGGACGTGTCTAAGTAGCCAAAGGAAGAAAAAAGTCACTAAGAGCCAAAGCAAACATTGGAAGCCACAAACGTACTGTCCTATCTTCCACTGTATTCCTACCACTGAAAAGTGCTCCCAATACCATCTCCCCTCTCTGATGTTCTATTCATGTTCATGTATTTCTCCTCCATCTGCCATTCTGATGTCCAATGCCAACCACAACTCTGCCTTCCTGGCTCTCCCTCTTCTACCAATCTAAAAACTGTGACTCCAAAAAGAGGCTCTAAGATAGGATAAAACAGACCATAAGCACCGCTTACCCAAAGCTTCAAGCCTCATTTTAAAATGACTGTGAGCATTTGTTTTTCCTACTCTAGATTTTATCCCTCAGGTGTCTGTTTGGTGTCGACCTTGTCACGACAGTAAATTTCAGGGTTAGTCACCTCCTAACCACTTTTCCTTCTCTGCAAAGCCACTGCCCTCTATCCCTTATCATCCTGCAACAAGGGGGCCACGGCACACAAGCCACTTCTTGTCAGTCGACCAGCCAGCAGCAGCCACCACCTTCTACCACTAAGAGACACAGAAATTAAGAGTCTCCCAGCAGCACTGCAAGCTCCGATCAGGCCCCTCGTGACAAAGGAACTCACCCATTGTCTAAGCTGCCAATCTAAAGGAAAAGGAGATCGTGGGTTGGGCTTTGGGTTGTGGGACTTTATTTCTAGTCAAAGAAAGGGTACGAAGGGCATTAAAGCAGAAATTAAACAAACACTACCTGGATCTTGGTCTTGCTTTGAGGCTGTTGGAATCCTTAGAAGTGGCTGAAACAAAGACCGGTTGTTGTTTACTTGGCTTTCATTTCTGCGGTTGAACAGGTTTATAAGCAATACCCGGGCTAGTAGAGAACATATATCTCAACAGGTAAATATGAGGTGCAGGCATCCCTGTGGAGAACTTAACCGCCTCCACATCTTCATTATTTTCTCATTTCATTTCTAAAGCTAAAGGCACAGTTCAAAGGAAAGAAAATCCAACATTTTTCTTCCTTCTGTCAGAGCACTAAGGAGCTATTCTCAAATCTACGCTGATGAATAAATTCCAATCTAAAAAGACAACCCTCTCATGGGGTTATCTACTTATATGAGGGGTTCTGACGTGTGGTTTCCTTGGTCTATCATGATAGCTTAGTAACTGATTTTGAACCAGGCTCCCCTGAAGGCTAGGAAGAACTCTATCAGGTTACATATTTTAAGAATTTCTTAAGATACACTACCAGAGTAGCATGACCACAAGAAATCAAAGCTCCCACAGCTAAGTTGAAATGAGCAACACAGCTTTTCCTACAAGAAAATATTCTTGTGTCCTATGTCCCTGTGACCAAATCACACAGACGATAGTACGGAATGAAATCATTAAGATATTTTACCAACCATATGAGACTTTTCCTTATCAAATTTAAATCATTAACAACTTGCTCACTATCAACACCCATGGACCCTAACTTTCCCATCACAAGTTGTTGGGAATAATTAGAAACATTAACAAAAACATTGATCCTTTTTTATATTTTCAGTACCCTACGGAAGACAACTTTAGAAACCACCAGTTATGCTAAGGTTTTGCAAACACTGCAAATCTTTCATCATAAAATCTCATAAAAATTCATAGAAAAAGTGCTACTAACTAGGAACAAGGAGAATATCATTTGTGTATTGTTTGCAGAAGTTCTTCCAGAGAGAAAATGTCTCAATGCATCATCCCACCTTTTTTTACATTGCTCTAAAGATAAAAACCCTCCTTGGTATGAAGGAGCCTAGATTTATGATGGTCGTTAAAATCTATGAGTTAGATAAGCAGGAGAGAAAGAGGAGTTAAAAATGTTAACAAGGCACAAAGCAAAGAAGCAATATGTATTCCCTTAGATATGGTCAGCTGTAGAAAAGACACATTTCTCTCTAAACAAGCATTGTGGCTTGTTGTAGCGAGAACACAGTCATGTTTCAACTTCAACCCATCAAAATGCTCTCAGAGCTCTGGAAAGCACTGGACGCCCGAGGAGTATAAGCCCTGTCTTGCCCATTATCACGCACCCCCACCCACAGGTACATGGAAAACTACCTCTTCCCACCCCACAAACTCCAGGCAGCAGAGGAAAGCGGCCTAAGGGGAGCTGCTCCTGCAGCCAAGCAGGCCGCCTTGGGGCTGAGTGGACAGTGCTACCGGACTCACCACAAATCCGGGGGCCGTCCTCCGGGCAGGCTGCCCACAGCTGGCTCTGACCCCTCTTCTCCCTCAGGCTACACTACTTTCCAGAAATAGTGTGGGCCCGGGGACACCTGGGCAGCTCAGTCGCTTAAGCATCTGACTCCTGATTTAACCCTAGGTCATGATCAAGCCCTGCTGTCAGTGCAGAGCCTGCTCGGGATTCTCTCTCTCCCTCTCTCTCTCTTCCCCTCATCTGCTAGCTCTCTCTCTCAAAAATAAACAAATAAACATTAAAAAAAGAGAAATATGTGGGTTGGGAAAGTCTTAGTCATTTTAAAATAAAAGTCTGGTTCCCCAAACCAGACTGTAGTGACCGTTAAATTCCTTTGTCAAGTGCCATTATCTCTTTCTCCTAGGTAAGAATGGGTGTGGAAGAGTGAACCCTGCTGGTGAGAGATAGACACACAGACAGATGGGGTGAGGGGTATGGATAAGCAGTGGGGACGAGGACAGGAGTCCTAAGGCCTACGTGTTCCTCCTGGACACAATACCAACTGTTGCGTCTCTGAACCTCAGTCTCCTCACCTACAGAATGAAGAAAATAAAAATGTAGCCCCTTTCTCCTGGGGAGAGAGAAGGCAAAGGTACTTGGAAAACAATCTATTTTTGAACTGTAAAATATTACTGTTGTAGACTGCTAATTTTTCAAGCTGAGAAATCTGGATTCTAAATGTAGTTCCCTCTAGGACAGCAAAGGAGGTGCAGGTGGAAACAGGTAATGAAAGGAGAAAATTGCTCTACCCCATAAGGCCATGGGGTGAGAGCTAGTAAACGGGGAAGCTGCTAGAATCACTAACAGCTGTCTGAAGACTACAGTGTGGGGACAAACAGGCCTAATCCGCTCAGCATAGCCTAGAGACGTCAAGAAAAAGATCACCATTGTGCAGCTTGCTCCGAGGAATGAGGCTGCAGTATGTTAGCTAAGAAATCTACTTTCAGCAATGAAAAGGATAAGGGCATATTAAAAAACCACATGACAAGGAATACCCCCCCTTCCCTGACAGCAGTCCTACCACAATATCCTCCTCCTCACCATTACTATTATCATTATTATCAACACTACCAGCCACTGTGGAAGAACAGGGCAGGGAGAGACTTCTCCTGCCACCTGCAACAATATACCACAGGCAGGGCTTGGTGAGTCCCCACAGGTTTCAGATCACAAAAAGCTGGAGAACACTATTCCGGTTCAGTCGTCCATCAGCTTCCAAGCTCCTGAAAGTCAGACTGAGCATTTGGGGCATGTGAGCATCTGCAAAAATGGCAAGGTCGTGTTGTACTGGAATCCAGGCCAAAGCCAGCAGGTAGGTCATAGCTTCTCATTTAGCTAGGAAGAGGGAAGAAGGACAACTTCCCAGAACATTGCAGGCATGTCATCGTTCCAGAAGATTGAAAGAGGATAAAAAGGCAAGCCTAAAGTTTAATTCTCTAAAAAGCAGCAACTCAACTGAGGTGAACTGCCCGTGTGGCATGGACAACCACCACCTTGAAATTCTACAGCGTCTCGCACTGGAAATTCAAACATTCCCCAGGAAAGGGGGTATTAAATACGTTTCAGATGAGGGATTCCCTCATATCCACTCCAGATAGGGCAGCAGTGGGAAAAATGAATCAGAAACCACATAGCATGTTCCTAGGCAGAATGTGAAACAAATTCAGATGTACTTCACGCACTGTCGCACACCCTGATAGGATTTGTCTGGTGACTCCGTGCCCCATTCAATAAAGAAATCTTAAAAATGACATCTACAGCTCAGGCTCCAGAGAACACATGATGCTCATGGAAAAAATAGGAAGTTATGAGCCTCAAAGACGGTTGGAAAAGCACCAATTTAACTCTCCAAAATCAAATAGCTTTTATTAATACCGTCAACACGAAGTTTACAAAACCTGAGGTACATCCATTCTGGCTCCAGAAATTAAAGCTGGAAAGAACCTACCTCATGCATTTGTCCTAAAATGGGTTTAGAGGGCAAGCGTAAAGTTTAATTCTCTAACAGGCCAGCCATCCATTTGTCTTTACACAAACTGAGCATTTCTCTTTCTGATGAAAGAACCCAAATCAGTTTCAAAAGCCCAAACTAGGCTTGAGAATTCCTACCACTTTGGGAGTCATGGTTGATCTATAAACTCAGTTTTCTATTTCTTATTTTTTTTTTTTGATGTTTTATTTTATTTTTGAGAGAGAGACAGAATGTGAGTGGGAGGGGGGGCAGAGAGCAAGGAAGACACAGAATCCGGAGCAGGCTCCAGGCTCTGAGCTGT